ATATATTGGGGGTTTAGTTACAGTATATGCTTGCCACAAAAACGCCTAGGTGAGGTGTTTTTAAATAACAGTATTACAATTCTGTGAGCCTTGAAATTGCTATTTAGTAAATGAGTGAGTGCACTGATATTATATGAATTGGCCCCAGCAGCTCCATTATAAGCATGTATTTTCAGGTGTGTGCAGCCCTCTTGGGTTCATATATTTGTGTTTAGTAGTCCAGGCCAACTCCTCTGGTTTTGCACCCCTCCCTGTCACAGGTTCCTCATTCCAGGGCCCTATTTAACCTTGATCTGCAGAGAGCCCCAGGAGGAAGGATTTCCCAAGTAAGTGGATTAGTCTTATAAGAGCAGGTATTAGGTTGCTAGGATAGAACCTGCCAAGAATGGGGTACATGGACATTGTGGCAGGCTTATGCAATGTATGATCATATACTGTAACTAAACCCTCATTTTTTTTGCAGAAGTGTTTTTAAATAAAACTATTACATTCTGCGAACCTTGAAATTGCTGTTTAGTGAATGAGTGAGTGCACTGGATTTTGTATTATTTGGCCTCGTTGATCCTGTCCCTTTAACCCTGCAATGTTAAATATTGCAGTTTCTGATAAACTGCAATAATTACCTTACAGGGTTAAGACTGCATGAGGAATAAATAAACTACAATGTACTTTCGGGGCACCGTCAGAAATTTTAATTTCTAGCAATAACACAAAAAGGTGCTATCAGAAATTTTTTGAGTATCAAAAATAGTTTTCTCTGATTTTACCCCACTAAGCATTTTTACAGCTTTTTATATATTGTTTTCATACATTCTCTTTTATTATTTCACTACAGTATTGGCTGTCATGCGCCTCACACACGATACCTTTAAAATAATGGGCTTCTGTGTGGATTGCAAGCAGGCACAGCCAAATTAAGGTTGTCCCAAGGCAGTGTGTCAGATTTGGGTCTGTTTCTGTGCGTGATGTGTGTTTGGTGGCTGTGTGGTGTTGTTTGTGGAGGACAGTGGGAGCTCTATGGGGAAGGCTGAGTATGTCTGTGTGTGCTCTTTGAGAGTTGTATGTGTAGGGGAGTCTGAGTGATGTCAATGTTTCCCCTCTGTTTATTTTCACTAATGGTCCAGAGGAGTGTGAGCTGGATCCTTGGTGACCGGTTAGGGAGCTTCCTGATCTTTAACAATATCTGGTACAGATAACCTTAAGAGTGTGTTCATGGTTCCGGCGCTCAAAGACATCAAGTAGTGCCGTGGGAAGCGCAAGGGCACCCTTAATAGTGCCTAATATTGGAAAAGACCAAAGCACTCACTCTGTGAAGTGATGGAGCGCAGGGCCATGCAGCTCAGAGCATTAGCTCCTGGCCCAGACAGACAAGTAGATCATTGATGTCCAATTTCCACACACAGTCTCTAGTAGTTTAACAATGTTTCTCCTCGGTCTTGTGGTTGTTGCCTTTATTAACACCCAAATAGCAGAGAAATCCATTTTATTCTAATGTCTTCTGATCTCTTTTTTACTATGTGCCTCTTTCCTTATTGTCTCTTTCCATTCCCTATCATGTGGAAATCTTCCCCTGTTGTGTTGAAATCTTCCTCGGAGTTGGTGTAACTTACTCCCAAGTTTTCTTGCAACAGTAACCTCTTCAATAAAGTAAATTTCATTGACATAAAGATCTCCTTTGATATGCTGAATAAATAATGGTTCAGGCACTCCGGGATAACAAAAAAACAGCCTTATTGGGGCAAAAGCAGCCCATTTTCGACCCTACCGGGTCTTTATCAAGCTTGATAAAGATCCGGTAGGATCGAAACACTGAGGTATAAAATGGCAACAAAGTTAAATACAAAGCTATAGGTAGAATCTTAAACCTATACTCAGCAGAATAATATAGGTAAAAGGGCCTTTGTAATAGGCAGCTAGCTAGTTCCTACGCTGTGCCTTCAAGTGCACCCTTTACCCAAAAGCCTGCTATATTCTGGTCTAGCCTAAGTAAACCCGTTTCCAACCCCCGATGCTGGTACAAACAGAATAGCTCTATGGAAATTAGGTAAATAGAGATTGGTGGTATAAATAATAGTCTCTGTAATGAGTGATAGCCAAACTCTAATGGCTTAGCCTTTGCGGTTATTGGCCATTCTATTGGGAGCACACTCTTGGTCTGGTAATTTAGAAAGTGCGCCTGTCAGTACCGCTGACATGCGTTTCGTTGTGTGGCTCATCTTTTCTCTTATCATCACAGTTGGTAATTATAAGAACACAGTGGTGATTGTGGTGCCCTAATCAATTTTTTCCTCTTTTCTGTTATTTAGAGAGTTGGGGGGTGACAATCCATTCAAAAGGCTGTCTGCACAAATCTGCACTTTAACCCTCACTCACTAATTTTTGTATACATATTAGGAGTTAAGGTTCACCCCCTCCTCTCCAGCCTTCTCCTCTGCTCTGTTCTCACTGGCTTGGACCCCTCACTGCTTCCCCCTCCCGCGGCTTCATTCTCTCAGGGAGGAAATGACCGGCTATCACTTCCTGCCAGGCTGCCAATAAGCAAGGGGATTGGCCGCGCTGTTTAAAGGCCACAGTGTCTGAGCGGGCCCTTGCTGACACATGTGTGCGGCCAATTATTTGAGGCCCGACGGAAAGCATTTGAAGGGCTGCATGTTGTGCAGGTCTGGCATACCCATTAAAAGAAAGCTGAGAACACTTAATGACGGACATCTGTTGGAATACCCCATTTGTTATATAACATGTCCATTAATTGATGACCCCCTACCTTTAGCATGAGTTACTAAAGGACCCTCTAAGCACCCGGACTACTACAGATCCCTATTGCACAATTTGTGATTACATTTTTATAAATATTTTCATTTACTTCATGTGTGCATTCAGATTGTTGAATTAATATTCTGGATAAGAGAGAGTTTGTTTAGTATTCTCGATGAGACAAAGTAAGATTTAGAAAATTCTATTTAGCTGGATAAAATTTGTTAAAATGATTTATGTCAGTGGTGTATCCTGGTTTTGTGCTGCCCTAGACAGGACAAAACTCAGGCACCCCCCCTCACCCTCCCACCCTTCCCCGCCTTCTAAATACACACACATTCACTGACAGACACGCATACAATAGCTAACATACACACTCACTAACAGAAACATACAGTCACTAGCAGACACACATTCACTAACAGACACGCATACACTCTCACTAAGACACACACATAGTGACACACTCCCTGACATACACACACTCACTAACAGACACACACTCACACTCACTAACAGACACACACACACACACTAACAGACACACACACAAACAGACACACACATTAACACACTCACTTGTGTTTTTTTTTTTTTTTTAATTCCCTCCCCCACCCCCCAGCCTCCTTACCTTTGGGAATGCTGGGGGGGAGAGTTCTCCCTTTCCCTGGGGGTCCAATGGCTGCTGGGCGGGAGGGCGGCGCTGTCTCTGCTCAGCTCCTTCCCGCGCCGCAGAGTGATGCTGGGAGCCGGAATATGATGTCATGCTCCCTCGTCAGCGCCGCCCGCACGGATTTTTACTTAGCCACCCGCCTGGACTGTTAGCCACAAGGCTAACAAAACATTTGCCCCGGGCATTTGGGAGCAGCTTTTTTTGTCGTCCCCTGGAAAATGCCGCCCAGGGCATATGCCTTCTTTGCCTCGCGGCTAATACGTCCCTGATTTATGTATAAAAGTGTTTAACAGAAATGTCACCGTCAACAGAAAAATTGGTAAATTCCCAATTATTGAAGTTTAATCTCTCTTCATACCTGCATCCAGTGTGCCACAAATTATGAAGTATTAGCAGGTGTAAGGAAACCAAGTGCATTTAAACCTCAATCGGTAGTTTCTTCCCGAACCGCCAGAGCCTAGTGAACATAGCCCTCCGTTGGGTAGTTATGGTAGACAAATCCCAGTGTAGTCCCAATAGTGTCCCTGGATAATTCCCTCAGTAATACACACGAACTCCCAAACAGCATACATAGTCAGAAGAAGGGTACAAAGATAAACTAAGGATTTATTGACAGGCATTCTCTTTTTATGGGATTCTGCCCATGCAAGGGAGCCTCCCATATAATTAACTGTACAACCAATCATAACAATATACATCCTGTGCATCTCCTCCCCTCAGATAACCTTTTAACATAATTAAAACGGAACATAATTTCCCCAAAGTCTGGATGTGCCCCAAGGACTTGCTGTACTCTGGGGGACCAACATATGAAAAAATCAGTCCATTCGGTTCAGCCGTTCGGGAGATATGGGACTTAGAAGTTTTGACCGACTGCACGGGCAAAGTAGCCGAAAACAGTTCCACGAATTCTGGCCCTGCAGTCGGTCTTAGGTCGCATGAAAAACCTCCCGAACGGCCGGCCATCCAGCTGCCATCCATGGTTCGCTTGACTCCCCATCAGTTAGTGAGTCTTTCTACCGAATGCCCGGTCATTCAGTAGTTTTAGTGGGGTTTTACTGAAGGTATGGAGGACTCAGCGGTGTTCGCCTATTTGAGTGTCTGTTTTCAGTTCCAGACAGTCGACGGCAAACACCGCTGTTCGGGAGCTAAAATGGCCCCGAACACGTGGAAGTCCCGTAATGGCGGCGGTGCATACCGTTTGTGCAGAACTTTTGTCGAACATGCCCAGCAAGCAGGGAGGTAAAGTATTCATAATGGGCAACGGGGTGGTCTTGATTCAGTAGTTTTACCTACCGAATGCCATAGGGAAAGCTAACCTGAAACAAGTGAATGCAAATTGTCATTTTGAAACCAAATAGGGGAATTTCTTCACAGCAGGCATCTATTATTGCTGCAAAGACTAACACACAGTGGTATCCCAGAGTATGAGGTATAATGTAGGCATTAGTTAATACAGACACAGCTACATAGCAGTAAATGCTTCATCTTACAAATACATACAATAAAGAGGACAGCCATGTATAATAAAGAATGTTTAATAAACTATATTTATTAAAATAATTTAAAATGTAGCAAAGAGTTAAGTGTTGTCTTTTTCTATAAACTTAAGCATGCATCATATTTTTAAGACACAACTTTACTGGAAGTGTTTGCTTAAATGAGGTAAAAAACAAGGGATGCGATATGAATGAGAGGGAATTTGTATGCATTTCTCAATGGCAACAGCACACATTTTAAAGGATTACACTGTAGCATTAACAAAAGCTTTTCCAAATGAATACGTTTGTGAAAACACATTCAAGATAATTAAAATAGTCCATATATTTCTGTGGCCAAATGTACATTAAAAAATAAATTTTTAGAAATGGCATAAAATAAACAATTTCATTACAGCACTAACTTAGCTGGTTTAAAAAAACAAAACAAAACAAACAAACCACTCCAGCTCTTGACAAACTTGAATTATAACCAATTACAGAGAACTATCCCAAACAGCAACCAAGGTTCAACACTCCACTACTAAAATTAGGGTGCAAAGCTTCATCAGTTGTTTGTATTTATAAGGAATTCTCAGTACTGCAAAATACTGACAGCTCAAAATATTTCAGAAGCTTAAAGGAACACTCCACCACAATATCAGCCACATAACATCATCTTCAAGAACTTGTCATGGGGCTTGGAGTCCCCCTGCACTGTCTTACCTTATGTTGCACAGTTTTTCATATGTTTTAACATCGAATTTCTGTCCCTGGGTGCAGTCACACCGCATCCTAAGGTAAGATTGCATTCAGGGACTCTAGGCCTCATGTTAACTGAGATGTAGTTGCTAAGGGGTGGAATGGCCATTTAAACCAGGAAAGGGCATGTTCGAACACTGTTACTTGCTTTACAAGATGTTCAACCCTTCAAATCAGCTGAAGCTCCCATTAAAAAAGCAAGCCAATTTGATATAAGAAGAATAATTTTGTAGTAATAATTGCCTTTATTGCGTTTCGCTACATTGATTTTGGGCTACTACATCCATTTGAGGCATTCATGTACACTGCTTTTAAAATGCAAATTACTGAAGATATTTGGAATGGGGTAACATTTAACTAAATCATGAAAAGTATTTAATGTAAAAAAAATTCCTAAAGAAAGCATCCATCAAACCTTTCATGTAACATGCATTGCTTTCTCGTGCAGTACACATTTGGAGTTTACATTTCTTACAACTGTGTTCAGTTATCTATAAAACACGACTGATGAGGAGTGACAGGATGATGTGAAAATAACAAGAAATTATTAGTTCCAGTTCACTTCCACAATGCAAGCGACGCATCAAATGAAACAAACAGAAATCTAAAAAAAAATCACTGTGTGTGAACGCAATCCAAACCTCATAGCATTCATTCTGAAAGGATGTTGGCAGTGTTCGGGAAGTAGACAGAGGTGTGGTGCAACCCTGGTGTTGTGAAGTAGCCGCTTGTTGACTGGTCACGGCCTGATTCACAACACCAGCTGCTGCACCTTACCATTTATTGGAGTGAACTCAGCATCCCGCTTCTGTTTTCGTCATCATAAGTAAGCGTGCTCTTACGAAACGATTGAAGGCGAGTTGTAATCTGCATGAAAAACAGAAAGCAAAATACATCACTATATAATATACTAGCCAAAATGTATTTATCCAAACCTAATAAAAAAAAAAAGAGAAAAAAAAAGAACCTATTTTTTTCATTTTACATGGCAATCAAGTTATTAGTATAATGCATCATTAGCTGATCCTTGGCACTGTGCATTGACTGATACTGAACAACATATAACAAGCGTATAAGTGTAGAATTGATTTAATATGGACTTGCATCACCAAAAACACATAAGCGTTTAGGTGTAAGGTCTTTCTGGGTAGCATTAAATGATAAATCATTGTGTGCTCTCCTTATAGATGTACTAACCACCCACCTCACCCTCACCCACCCCATCCTCACTGGAGTTGTTCCCTCCTCTCACTGGACATGAAACTGAGAATTATTCAATGATAATCACTAAATCTGGAATTGTGAGGAATTGCCAATGATTTGCTTATTCTAGAATAAAAGAGACAAGCTTGGGAAATAGCTGATCTTGAAATATTTCCAGTTCTGCTGCAGGTATAAATTTTAAATTACTTTTATAATTTCTCCAGAATTCATAGTTTAGACAATAAACTCTACATACTTTTATTCTCAGATTTTTAAAGTTCTGGTTCGAACCATATAAAGTTCACATTGTATTTGCTTTTCTGTTGTTTCTTTTTAGATTTCATTTTTTTGAAGGAGGCATTACTATGTGTGATAAGTGTTACATGATTTCTTCAAAATAAAACATTGTTTAGAAAACTTACTTAACTGAAAACACAAAAAGTGACGTTCTACTGCAGAAAAGATTGGTATTTTAGCCAGCCTAGCATTCAACAAAAGGTTGCAATTGATGGATATAGATGTTTTGTGTTACACAAAACCAACTGGCCAAACAACAAGCTGGGCATAGAAAATGCAATAAGAAAATTATCGAAAGTTCAAAGCTAAAGGGAAAGAAAATATGTGGTCTCCAGTGATGCCTGGTGATATTGACAGGAAACAGTTACCTTGACAACGGAACTTTCCCAAGTCCACTTTCATCTGTGGAGTGGCTTAATTGAAGAAGTAACAGTGCACTGTGGCCATATCTTAAAGACATTAGGATGGAAAGAAACAGATACATTGAGCCTATAACAATTTTTGTCCTACTGTTATCTGTTCATAATCCTAAAAAAGACTGTATATAGACTTCATAATGCTTTGTGCATGCAGCACTTACATGGTGTCTTAAACCACCATTGCTTTTTGAATAAATAATCAAGAAGTAATTTCAAAATGTCAATGTCTGTGGCAGCACATACACATTTTACTTAAAGGGTTTCTCCAACCCTTTTTTACTCTTTGAATAATGCCCTGTTGGGGCAAATATCTACCTACCTACATATCTACCTATCTATATTTTAATACTGCCCTAACTTGTTTTATAAGTGGTGCAGAATTCTGTAGGGGATTAGCATGTCTGAGAATTAACCAGATTTGCACTGGTGGCACCAGGCTTTACAGCTCATGACTATGCCTCTTGGGTACAGGAAGACATAAAGGGAAACTAGAGTCACCAGAACCACTACAGCTTAATGTAGTGGTTATGCTGCCTATAGCTTGTCCCTACAGTGTTTACATTGCAGGCTAGTAGTATCTTTAGTGGCGGTCACTCAGACAACCATAGAGGTGCTTCCTAGTTTAGTGCTGCACTGTGGGCAGCACTAGCGTTCAATGCTGAACGTTGCCATCCGTGGCAAGACAGACACAGTGTATGAAAATAAAGTGTGTAAAATCACCTTTTTACTGCACAGATAGAAGGCTGGTAACATAAACAGCTACTTTAGCACTACAGTGTCAGGATTATACGTTTGTTTTCCTGAAACTGTAATGTTCCTTTAGTAAGACCTAAAAGGAACAGGTGAGAGCTGATGACAAATAATAACCTCCTGGGAACCAAGGAAAAAAAATTGTCTTTTTATATGCCATACATTTTTGATGAAAATAAAGAGGAAGTTGCCAGCATCCAATCACTGGAAAGCCCAGTACGTCCTCTTTACTCTTGAAAGAATAAAAGGAGATACATGTGAACAAAATATCCAGTACAGAGGACACAAGTTACTGGGCTGGGTCTCAAGAGGATATGTGAGCCTTATGGAAAATTCTATTTTAAAAGAGCACGGTTGAGGAGTTGGTTAGATGAATAACAAATAATTGAATGTGATTTTTACAGAGGGAGAATTATGATCGTTAAATTAAAATGAAGCAATGATTTTAGGATCTAAACATACATTGTAATGAGAAAAAAATATATAGTCAAGTTCCCCAGCTTTTAAATAAATATATATATTTGAAACTTACTACCTATGATTTTCTATATAAGCTAAAACAAAGTATAACTGTTTAATAAAATTAAATGGCATGCAAAATGAATGTGACAGAACACCCAAGTTTTGTGATTTAGAACAATATTGTTAAAACAGTCCTTACCAAAGCCATAGCTCGTATTTTGTAGATGCACAATTGTATCAATTACTCCCTGCTTTTGTGTTCAATCTCCTCCTTACAGACCTATTGTTACACCCAGACTTCATCAGTCCTGCATTGCCAAGTACCACTTCCAGTATTAAAAATCTTAATGTCGCCCTTTTGTCTGTTACATCTTCATGCTCTGCAAGTTAATCCATCTCTGTAGTGAATGTCACAGTGTGTAACATCCAACAAAATGTCTTTACTAATCCTATTTTATCAGCTTTGTTGCCTTGTGTGCTCATATCCAGTAGCACAAAACCTTGCCTTTTCATTTGCCACCAACTTTTCGTCTTCCCCATGGTTTCAATTAAATGACTGAAGTGCGGAAAATGCTATCTGGACATCTGCCAACGTCCTTCAGACACAATGCCAGTGCATTTAATTACATACGGTAGGCCTTCAAACTCTTTCAGGAAGCCCACCTAGCAAGCAGCTGCATTTAAATCATCTAACTAATAAATAATATATACCCCCTTAAAAAAAAAAAATACACTTGATATTTAATCACTTTGCTACCATTGAGACACATCATAAAAACTTGTGGATTCTTTTAGATAAATCCTTCTGGAGTACCTGATTCCTTAAGCAAACCTTCTGCTTGTTCAATTATACATAGACAATGTTTTAAACAACTGCAACAAAAAGGAGGCACATCTCACAAAACCAAAGTTATTCAGGTTGAGGATAAGCAGAGCTCAGAACTATATATTTATCTTTGAATCATGCTATTCTTGTCCAAATACTATTATTTACCAACTATCAAATCAATACCATAATATATTACAAAGGAGCAACAAAGTGATTAGAGAAAAAAACCAAACACACCTATACGGAGACAAACAAAAAAAAAATCTATTTTAGACTGGGCACCACCACTTTTTGAATGGCCATGCCATCCTTTATGGACCAAAATATCATTAAAAAAAAAATTACAAAAAATATTTTAAGAGCACAGATGAGTGCTGGTAAAAAGCACACAGTATTTTGCAACAGATTTTGACAATGACAAGAAGAAGCTGCAGCTGAACAGTTACTTTACAGTATGCAAGTTGACCATCTGGCAAAATATGTTTTTACAGGGGGGCAGTGGCCATAAAATAGAATCTGAAATATTCCGCAGTATGTCCCTCTGTTTGTAGGTCCCTGGGCAAATCTGCATCTTTTAGTAAATAGACATAGGGTACAGGAGACACAAACAGCTCACAATTCAAAGAACACTTGGGCTTTGGTTGTATTGGATAAAGCAAGAATATATTTAAAAATTATATTAACCTGAGGGCTGATTTGAAAATAGCCATCTATAAAATAACCTAGGACAGGATTTGATTGTCAGACAGCGAACTCCAATTTCCAATTTGATGCTAATCCTACTAGTGCAGGATCTCCCCAATAGATTATACAAATGAAAAAGTACGAGACTCAATCTTAATTAGACTTTTTCATTTTCTGTAAATTTTGCAGGTAATCAGGGCTGTGATGGCATGAGTTCTCATTAACACCTTTTTGAATATATGAAACCTGAGCAGTCTAAAATTAGTTGTTTGATCCTATTCATCATCATGCTCTGAAACACACGATAATTTTGAAACACAAAAAGATAGATTTATTAAAGTATCTCTAAAGTAAAAATGGGCAACGTTCTAAAAGTGGGGTAATCATACCATAAACCAGTGGAATGTTCTGCAAAATATATTTATTCCACTTTTAGAACTTTGCCACCCTTATCTTTGCCCAAAACTTAGCTCACTGAAGGAGTTTGGTTAGAAATGTGTTCTACAGTTTTAAAGGAACACTCCAAACCCCTGCGGCACTCTCTCTTGCTGAAGTGCTTGAAAAGGTGCTAAAAGTACAGAATTCACGAAAAATTGACACTTTTTTTTAAAGGTTGTGAGCTGCACCCTTTTGGTTGTCAGACAACCTGATCAAGCACAGAGCATTTTATTTAATACTTCCGAGAAGCAGTGCAGACAGGGAGTGGCTATTATCGCACATGCTTCCTAATGAGAAGCATCTGGAGATCATCGGTATTGCTCATCTCCTAACAGAGTGGCTTTACTAATCCTAGTTTATCAGCTGTGGCCAATGCCATCTCTCTGCTGGATTAAAGGTATGTAACTCTTTCTTTAGGGGGAGCAAGAAGCCCAATAATGTAAAATGCCAACAATGCATAGATTTTTCTTTGTAATGCTGGAATGTTCCTTTAAGCTATAGGCTCATTTACCAATGTATAGTTAGAAATTTAAAATTTTACGCTGAAATAAAAACATAGACAAATCAATTTCCATTTCTGACAATTCACACTTTAGCAAAGATACACAGATCAGCCTTGATAGGTTTTGCATCCTGTATGAAAAGTGAGTTTTTTCCCCCCCTAAATGCATTTGTAAATTAAGAAATAAAT